AAAAATTCTTTATAGGTACTTTGATGATAAAAAATCTAGTCTGTGTACTTAAGCGACAGCTAAAATCAGAACCATTCCCACTACAATGTCACAATATCTCACATGACACCGTTGCAGGCTGTGAGGTTACCCGAGTCATCTCTGACGCCTGTATATATACATGAAAGAATGTAGTGAACCCTCTTCCCTTTCGTCAGTTATATATAAGACATGGCATATATAAGACAGACAAATGTCAGATAGGCTTTGTCCTTTATGTTTAGACTTGCTCGTTTGGCCTTTAGTTACAGCTTCCGGGACTTTGAGGGGCTGATATCTAGGTTCTGTCTGTCTCTCGGATATGGCCTCTACACATTTCTGTGGAGTTACATTGAGTAGGGGACGGGAGGAAACGTACTCATAGATAGAGGTTACCACGAAACATAAATGTTTACCCTTATTCGTCTTTTCAGGTGAAACTGGACTAGTAATAATTCTGATTTTAGCTGTTGTTAAATAATCTATTGCCTCAAGTTCGTGCATTTGAAGAACAATGTGGACAGACTGTGAAGACGGGGCCGTAGCGATAGTCCGAAGGTTCAATAGTCCGAAGGTTCATAGGTCCGAATGTTCACTATAGAACCTTCGGACCAATGAACCCTTGATTAAAAAATCGATAAAAATGTTACCACTTTTCGGACCAATGAACCTTCGGACTAATGAACCTTCGGACTATCGAGACGCCCCCGTGAAGACAACGGATAAAAACTTCACGCTATAATTATAACACCAGTCACCTTAAACGTATCAGCTGTGTAGTGATGTACTTACATAGATAGGATCCTCACACAAACTGTCCCGCAGTGATCATAGATATACCCCAACACGGGAAGAGACGCTGAGCAGATTATAGCGACGGTGTAAACAAGATTTAGCATCTCTTCTTGCTCATTGCACTTTTTAACGTGATCTGCATCATGTTCTTCTGTACAATTCCCCAGAACAGTACAGGCATGTTCTACCGTGTCAATGCTAGCATTCACTCTGGGATCAAAGTGACAACGGGAGTAGTAAAATTTTTCCTCGATGAATATATACACAAATGCTGGCCATCCAAATAACGTAAAAGAGTAAACCGCCGCTTCTAAGATTCCGAAGGCAGTGCAGAATAATTTCCAACACGTTGTTCGTGTCATCCTGTTTGTCGTGGATTAACGCTAATTACGCAAAGTTAATAGTGACTCAGGTATACATACACAAGAGCATTAGTTTGATTTGATATTTTACCCATTGGTAAACTAGTCACACCTGTGTTGAGATTAAAAACCGAATGATGATGCAAGGTGCTATAACGGATGACGTAAAAATGCTTATTTTCAGAATAATGATTGTTCTCATACCTGTACAACGTAAGTCTATAGTGAATGAAATGCTGACTCTGGCGTAAGCTCCATACAGTCAAACACCGTGAAGCAGTGGATAACACATTTATTTCAGCTGATATTTACCCTTGTCAGTAATTCAATACCGCCTGCATCACACAAAAGAAGCGGTTCATATCAATACAAAATGAGGGGGTGAAGGGATTACAGCTCACTAGAATCGGATCATTAATTTACAAAACGCAAATAAAGCTATATATTCGAAGGGGAAGAATAAAAAGCCGTATTCACCAGTCACAAAAATGGGGTGCATCACGGATCAACTAAATAATATGAACATTGCACGTTTGTGAGGGTAACCATTTTTACCTCATCGTCGCCTCATACATATGGCCCTGACGTGTTTTATTTCACTTACTTTGATACACACGCTCTGTATAACATTGTGGGATTCTTAGGCTGAATAGATTTCTGTAGGTGTAAGCATTTTATTTGAGTAAATGACTATGATCTTGTAGTATGCATAATGGAGGATACATTGGTATTTTTTGTAGTTTGCAGGTGAAAATTTTCATGAAAAAATAACAAAATTAAAAATGTGCACATAATGAAAATCTGACTCCCCCATGAAAATTTGACTCCCCCTCCACAAAACTTCATAAATCTTATTTTATTTTGAGTATATGACTGTGATCTCATTATATTTGAGTAAATGACTATGATCTTGTAGTATGCATAATGGAGGACACATTGGCACTTTTTGTAAGTTTGAAGGTGAAAATGTTCATGAAAAAAAAAATTAAAGATTTGTATTTTACAACACAAGGACTCCCTTATGAAAAAGCTATTTATTTGACATTTGATGACCATTTCAACATCTTTCCCTTTAGGATACTTTATGAAGATTATATTGGAAGTACTTGAAAGTTTGATGGTTAAAAAATTGGGTGAAAAAAAAAAAAACACATGAAAAATAAGGAAAATTAAGGATTTGTATTCTTACACCCAATGACTCCCCTATGAAAAAGCTATCTATTTGATATTTGATTATCATTCTGACATCTTTTCTTTAAGGATACTTTATGAAGAATATATTGGAAATATTTGAAAGTTTGAATGGTAAAATACTGATATGCTAGATAAGAAGAATTCAGTAAAAAGGCGATGGGGCCAATTTCTTGAGTTAAAAATGTAGTGTTTTGACATGGAAGTGCAAAACCTACAGGTAGTAAGATGAATACTTGTTTTAAAAATATTCAACAATATTTTCACCACCAAACTTTCAAATAATAACAAAATGTACATCTCTGTGCAAACTATGTGGAAAACAATGGTATGGTGACTGGATATAAAATAGGTCCTTTTCTTTATGGGAGTCCAAATCTCATGGGTATAAAAATGAAGATTTTCATGATTTCTTTTTCATTCTTTCACTCACTATTTTATCATCAAACTTTTAAATATTTCCAATATGTTTTTCATAAAGTATCCTAAAAGGAAAGGTGTTGAAATGATGATCAAATATTAAATAGATTTATCATTGGGGAGTCATTGGGTGATAAAATGCACATTTTTAATTTTCTTATTTTTCATATTTTTTTCTTTTTTTCTTTTTTTCTTTTTTTCTTTTTTTGCTTTTTCACCCAATATTTTACCATCAAACTTTTAAAATATTTCCAATATAATCTTCATGTAGTAAAAGTTAAGGAAAGGTGTTGAAATTATCCTCAAATATTAAATAGATAGCTTTTTCATAGGGGAGACAATGGGCGGTTAAGTGCACATTTTTAATTTTCTTATTTTTTCAAGAAAATTTTCACCTGCAAACTACAAAAAAAAAAAAAAAAAAAAAAAAAATGCCAATGTACATCTTCCATTTTACATACTACAAGATCACAGTCATATACTCAAAATAAAATAAGATTTATGAAGTTTTGTGGAGGGGGAGTCAAATTTTCATGGGGGAGTCAGATTTTCATTATGTGCACATTTTTAATTTTCTTATTTTTTTTCATGAAAATTTTCACCTGCAAACTACAAAAAAGTGCCAATGTATCCTCCATTTTACATACTACAAGATCACAGTCATATACTCAAAATAAAATAAGATTTATGAAGTTTTGTGGAGGGGGAGTCAAATTTTCATGGGGGAGTCAGATTTTCATTATGTGCACATTTTTAATTTTCTTATTTTTTTTCATGAAAATTTTCACCTGCAAACTACAAAAAAGTGCCAATGTATCCTCCATTTTACATACTACAAGATCACAGTCATATACTCAAAATAAAATAAGATTTATGAAGTTTTGTGGAGGGGGAGTCAAATTTTCATGGGGGAGTCAGATTTTCATTATGTGCACATTTTTAATTTTCTTATTTTTTCATTAAAATTTTCACTGCAAACTACAAAAAATGTGCCAATGTATCAACCATTTTACATAATACAAGATCACAGTCATATACTCAAAATAAAATAAGATTTATGAAGTTTTGTGGAGGGGGAGTCAAATTTTCATGGGGGAGTCAGATTTTCATTATGTGCTCATTTTTAATTTTCTTATTTTTTCATGAAAATTTTCACCTGCAAACTACAAAAAAGTGCCAATGTATCCTCCATTTTACATACTACAAGATCACAGTCATATACTCAAAATAAAATAAGACTTATGAAATTTTGTGGAGGGGGAGTCAAATTTTCATGGGGGGAGTCAGATTTTCATGGGAGTCAGATTTTCATGTTACACCGGTTAAGGTTGAAAATCTTCCATGTGTCTTCATTATACCCCAACGTTTCAATCTGGTTCTGCAATACTTTGATAATTTCATTTTGGATTTCTTGGCTTTGTGCACTGTTATTTTATTTGCAAATTTACTAACCAAGAAAACGTAATGTTTATTAACTTGTATATTTAATATAACAGATTGTTTAGAATAATCACCTTTTTTCTATCTGTGCGTGAGTGTGTAACATTCGATTTTCAAGTCACTGCTTACTGGGTACTTTCCTAGGTAGTTGCGATCTCTGATATTGGCCCCAAATCGAATTGTCCTCGAAAAATGAACAAATATCCCCACTCAATGGCCTTTAATTGACCAGTCCCCGAAGGCGCGTTCCATATTTTATAAAACTGCTAGTTAATTAACATAGTACATCGCGATCATTTCTTCAACAAAAGCTTCTGTACTTGAACAAAATGAAACAGTTTGACATTTTTTTCTGGGGTACATACGTTGCGTAGTATTAGGCATGACACAAAGCCCCCTGTGCAAGTTTAAATATTTGTAAAAAAAATCCTTATGTAATGTATAAATGACCCGGAACATACGTTACCATACGTTTCCAGAACATACGTTACCATGTAGGGCTCTTTGCGTAATGTAAAGACATAGTGAAAATTAAAATTTGAATTTAAATTGAGACTGTTGTGGATTTTTGTTCAATACACATATATGTTAAAAACTGAATACAACTACGAATTCATTCAATTTTATTTTTGGACACTTCAGCATGTGAAACGCACCTCTGCATTTGGTTTGGGTGTGCAATCAAGATTAGCGTAGTCAAAGTCGGGTCTCTCCTGTCTTATAGCGCCGGACGAAAGCAGGCTTCTGAGTCTCGGAAGATGATCAGAATTTAAAATGATGGATATATATTTTTTTCTGTCGGAAGGCAGTCAGAAATGGAGGAGAGATCAACAGTGATAATTTGGAAGGCTGTCAAAAAATATCCGTGAGTCTGTTCCTGTAGATGTATATACATGTAGTTCCCGATTTACATGTAGGAGAGATTACATTAACTGGGCAGTATACTTCCAAATGAGTTGAACGTCTTGGTTAAAACTGTATTATCATGGTGCAGGAGTATATGTAGCAGAACACTCGTCTTGTCTGGAGGAGCTGCAGCCATTCTGTCTCACGTGCTGGCTGGAACTTTAAAGCGTGTAGCTGTTAGACCTCGTGTAGCGACACCGACGCCAAAGAAGGTAAAAAGGCAAACAGCTGGCGGTGAGACATATTCCCAGGAACAGTAATCCCAACTGTGAAAATTAAATAAAAGATATATATTTACCACGCCGAGTTTTCATCATTATCACACATCAGTCAAAGTATCCAAACCGTTATAATTCCGTGATATTAGATTTTTCCCAAATAGTCGGTAGTCAACTGTAAGGTGGAAAAAGTAATGTAAACACACTGTTTGCTTTGCGGTTGTTCGTGATTTGCATTGTGTCGCCATCTGGAGATTTAATTGCAGCTATTCTGCAAAACCTCGAAAAGCCTAAGATGATTGAATAATATTTAGTGATAAATATTCGACCACACATCCAAGAGCCTAATTCATGTAACTCTATATTACCCGATCTATTACAATAACAGTTCCTAAACATACCCAGAATGGGTCACTTTCCAGGCTGTATTTATACCAGGCGAATATTGGATATTCAATAAAGGTGAACAAAAATCCGATACCAATTTGTATTCCATAGGTCTTCCCAAAATGTTCCTTTGGAAACCTACAATTTGAATGTTTTGATGTAATATATATTTGTAAACTAGTCTTATATGTTGATTGAGTCACTGTAATGCGTAATTATGCCTTTGTGTGATGTTCATTGCTAATTCAACCAGGGTCTTGTGCCATGAAAATGAAATGGTTCTGCAAATTGTTATTAGGGACAAAGAAGCTTATAGGAAAGGTGGAAATACATGTTAATAGACTGTGTTATAAAATCTATACTTACGTGGAGGCTATATATGCCAAATGGGAGGCATAACTCCCGGTTTTCAACATAGAATGAAACAAAATGGCCACAAACTGCATCTCAATAATGGGGATGATGCACGCAATGGAGGCGATTAGTCCTGCCAAAACTGTGATGAAAAATGGAACCACGAAGCACCGCTCTTTGTCTGAAATATATAATGGTATCAGTACGTGAATCATGCATGTACTTCTCCAATACCATGTGTATACATTACTAGTATATCACATTTTTTAATAATATTAAGATAATCGGTATTATATATTACTCATAAATGGTTAACAATTGTCAGGGAATACAGATGTACTTTCTCTCTATATGAAGAGAGTCATTTCCGTTGCCGTCCAACGAAAATTATGAAATATTCAAAGTCATTTCTCCCATTATATTGTGTAGGCGGGTCGATTCTGTGTGATCTAAAATGCATAGAGACTACGATTCAAGAACAAAAGAAGTCACTGTTGTCTCAGAGCGTCTATGATATAGCATGGCATTTCAACTTTGATGCAGTTCATTTCTTTCAAAGTTAAATGACTACGATTCTATTCTGACATTGGTCTAAATTGCATTTGTTGGATATATTGATATTAAATATTGAAGTATTCTTTAGACAGCGACAGCTCACAAAGCCATGGCCACACATGTACAAAAGAGCCACAGAAGCTGCTATTATAAAATGGTAACGATACATGTTGAACACCCTTTGCAGCTAAAACCTATAATTAACTAAAATCCAATGAAACCAACTAATATTTATACGTATACGAGGAAACAGTTGCCGTTAATCGAAAGCACATATATGATCTTAATTACCATCCGCGGTTGCTCTGGAAACAAGTTTGTCCAACATCAAACCGTTCAGCAAGGCCCAGATCAAAGAACCCACTTGGAACCAGGAATACACGTCCGTATACGTACTTACTGAAATGTAATTAGAAATATGAATATATTTGTGTTGTGTTTTGTGTAAAGATGGTGGAAACCAAGCGACATGAGAGAGATAGGAAGGGATGCGTGCGTTACACGTTAAAAAAGTTTATGCAGTAAATTGGTTACAGTGATAATAAATCAATTACCTTTATCTTTGACATTATTTCCATAGTAATTGATAATTGCATAAAAACTGCCTTGATATGTGACAATGAGGGTATTTTGGCACAGAAACCACAGCATTAGCATCCAAAAAGAGGGGCTTTTGATAATCAGTAACGTGTCATGTAGAAAACAGTTGTTAGCACTTTCGCCATTTTCCTTGCCTGGAGAGTTTTCTATTCTGCATGATATCTGCCCAATTCCATCAACGCGCATTTCTGTATGATTGGTATTATTCTCATGTTGACAACTAGTGCCTTGACAAATAATGTCATCAGCTTTTTCCCGAGTGACATCTCCATCTGCTTTCTCTTTACTTGCTAACTCTGGAGTGGCACTTCCGATGGAAGGAACACCACACTTTGGTTCTGTGCTTACATCATCAGGCATGTATGCTGCGTTTGACAAACCTTGCTCTAAAACCTGATGACCACTTTGCCTCTCATTTGCTGTAGGTACATGATCAGCGTTTGTACAAGTGCTGGTGTTCGGTTTAGACGATTCTGTTTTGCTTCTTTGCCGCTTGCGTATCTTAAAACAACAGGCGATGTCAATGTTGTTCCCGTCGTCATCCTGTCTAGGTGGAAGGGTGAATGTGTTGACAGAAGACAGAAAAAGTATCACACCGGCAAAGGTGAACATGAACGTTTTGTACGACGCCCCTGCCTGGTACGTCAGCTGAAATATATTTTAAAAATGTAGTGTACAGTATTCGAAGACACGAACGCTCAAAAATGTGGAATTCCAAACGAGTTGGTGTTTTACTTATCATGAGGACTGATTAGATGCCAACATATTCACTGGCACGAATGATAAAGATGTATTATTTTTACTACTTTCAACGGCATTATGGAGACTTTTATTTTGAAAAATCTTCCGTGAAGTGTAATTTTCTTTTCATAGAATAGTATCCGTAACTACTAGTTGGCACTAGATATATTAGTTTGTGCCATATCAAACGATCAATTAACAGAGTGTTCCTCAGGTTGTAGAACATTTATGCGACAAATAGCACACGTGTATGATATTACCTTTAAGAGAATAGGAGCAAAGCCACTGACGTCTATGGCACCGGAAATCAGACATATGAGTGTTGCCTTTAGCTTAGGAAATAGTACGGCCACTTGGACGTCAGTAACTGCCAATTGGATGCCTCCCACCAGGTGAAATACAGCCCCAGGGAACAACAGCCATTCTCTTCCTACAAAAAATGTCAAATGCCTCATCTTGGTTATTGACCCAATTTCTTATACATATTCTACCGGAATTAACACTTTGATAATTTCATTTTGATTTTCTAAACGTTATTTACAGTTAATTTATGTGAACTGAAGCTAATTTTGAGAAAAAATATTTAACCCCAAAGGCATCAGAGTAATACCATGTATCACTTATCATGAATAGATGTTTATTGGAAGTTATTATTACTTATTTGTAACGGTCTTTTATGACACCGCCTTTCATGTGCCAAGTTACTTCTTTTGAAGGTTTCTTATCTCGTATATTCCAAAGGTTTCCTATCTCGTATAGACCGTATAGACCAAATATACTTTTTTCTCGAAGAATGAATATTTTTGCTGTATTCAACAGCTCATTGCGCTTGTTTTGTATCATCACTAGTATAAAGTATTACCAGTCCGTTTAAGCTGCCCTGTTTTATTGTACATTTCAAAAGGAAATATCAACATAAACTACTATGCTTTGCATGACATGTTGCGGAAATTGGGGACATATTTAAACACAGATAGTGTATTTGTTAATAATATGAAGCTGACTACGTATAACATTGGTCAAAAAAGGTTTTCCCATCCCCCAATTTCATTTGCTTTTATTTACAAATGATAGCCTCATATGTGTAAATTGCTATAAACAGTGCTTTTTATTCCAGATCTTAGTCTTAGTCTTAGGTCCTCCTGTCCAACGTAGGGCATTGGGCGGCACATTTTATTCCAGATACCATATCTTAAATGATTAATGGCTCAGAATATACAAAATAGCGGTTAAGATATCCATATTGTATGCCATTAAAATTTAAAACATGTACCCCTCCAAATCCAAGGTTTCACTCTGGTTTCCGCAGAGGTTAAGAAATAACCATAAATTTGAGCTGACATCACCAAATGTCATCAAATTTACACAAAATAAGCATTAGGATGCACTTGTTAACGATCGTGTGTCTAATAGCGTGTGTCTACAGAGCAATGCAATTATATCTTGTAGGCGGCGCGATAAGTCTGCAACAAGGGTAACAATTATGTTTTGCGTGACGTTGGTCCATTCTTTCTAAAGATCTGTGCAGAGATGATCCAGATTATTTGGGGGTTGATTCTCCTCTGCATTGCACACTCCAATCCATGCTACAGATGCTCAGTAGGGTGAATATCAGGTCTTGAAAATGGTTATTCCATGTCCACAGAGGATTACGTTTCTGCAAGATATCACTCGATGGATGAGAACTGTGAGCAAGTGTGCTGTCATGATGGAGTCTGATGAAACCTAAAGTCAGCTTTTGCAGATTAGTGAGATATCAGCTGAGAATATTATGTTCAGTGACACCAGAGGTATCGGAACCTGGTTGGCCATTACGAGACGGAATCTGGTTTTGCTAAAGAATCAATGGATTTCTTGCACCCCATCAATGGCCAAATGAGTGTTCGTAGAAAATGTTGCAAAATGCCTTTTGGAAGGGTTTGTACAGGATAATTTCGCCTGAGTGTCAAATCAGTCCGCATTTTGAAAGCATTCCAAGCCCATGGTATTAGTACATTGTTCCCTCTGGAACAGAACGCTACTGGGACATGTTACTGTAAAATTTTCTACAGATATCTCACTCCATTTACAAGAAGTGATTTCAGGGATGATACTGGCTTCATCGTGCTAACGTACTTGCTCACAGCGTTCGTCTGGGATTGATTTGTTGCAGAAACGGAATGTTCTGAGGATGGGCCAGCCATCTTTGTGCCCTGATATTAACCCTAATGAACACCTGTGGTATTGTGGCATGAATTGGAGTGTGCAATGCAGAGGAGTACCAATCCCCAAATAATCTGGTCAAACTCCACCAAGCTTTAAGGAAGAATGGGTCAATATCACGCAAAACAGAATTGTAACCCTTGTCAAAGGCTTGTCGGCCCCCCTACCATAGATAATTGTAGTGGGTGGTAGACACACACGCTATTAGACGTTTAACGTTCATTCTAATGCTAAATTTGTATAAACTTGTCGTTATTTAGTGGTGTCTATTTCAATGTTATGGATAATTCATTAACTGCGATTAATTAAGCATACATGTATTTACATTGGATATCGTGAGGAATTGTTAATAATCTCTTACCTCTCTCAGCTAATGCCATCAGGAAGAATCCACCAGCACACAGGCATCTTGAAGAAAACCAAAAGAATTATAATAAAACTTCGCTGATGCTCTCAAAGTTATATTAAATTACAAGAAATTGGCATTTTATTTGGGCAACACTACCTGTCAGCTTCTTTCATAGGCATAACATTCATGGTAAAACAATTGACAGCTAAAGCGACCATAGTTTGGCTGATTTTGTCCATTTTTCAGTTGCTATTTTAGTTTCATTTATCCTGCAAGCACNCTTCATACACTGATATTAAATTACAAGAAATTGGCATTTTATTTGGGCAACACTACCTGTCAGCTTCTTTCATAGGCATAACATTCATGGTAAAACAATTGACAGCTAAAGCGACCATAGTTTGGCTGATTTTGTCCATTTTTCAGTTGCTATTTTAGTTTCATTTATCCTGCAAGCACGGGTAAGGTTATATTAAGGGTTTTCCGATTGAATAGTTGCAGCTTTGCTACATGTAATATGCAAACTGTTTATTTATACAGATATGGTTCTATACTTTTTTTTATATCTGATGTATTTTAGTTAATCTTTAACTCAGACTGCAAAATGCGGGTGTCTGTGCCCTCGATCTTCACTGAAGCTTGGCTAAATGGACAGGCTTCAGTGATCAGCATATCGCCACGGTCATATAACATACCTAGGTTATAACTGTATTAAATCTTGTCTGAGTCCTTTACCGACAGTTGTACAGTAATGTAGTCACAGTATACTTATACCGCGTGCTACCACAGTAGCTTCGTTCATTCTAAAGCAACCAATAATTACCAGCAAATAGGTAGATGCACTAATTATATTAATGTAGAATTACTGGTGGATGCACAAAAAACTCTTTATTATTTGATGATAATAAATCTTAAGCGACAGTTGTACCCGCACGAAAATGAAGTAGATACTCCAGCGCAGTAGACTACTGCAATCATACTGCAAACATGCTTCAAATATGCTTCGATGTGGGAGCTAATTAGCATATTTGAAACATGCTTCTATCATGCTGCTAATCTACTGCATTAATGCTCCTCCTCTGTACAACCCTATGTAATGTTTGAAGTAGAATTGCAGTAGGCAATATTTGAAACATGCTTCTATCATGCTGCTAATCTACTGCATTAATGCTCCTCCTCTGTACAACCCTATGTAATTTTTGAAGTAGAATTGCAATAGGCTATACTGCATTTCTACTGCAAATATGCTCCACACCTCTATACTGCGTTAATGCTTCTTTGCTACTTCGATACTACTGCGTTTTCTTGCGGGTACACTAATGAAGTCACAGTATACTTACACGGATAGGATCCTCACACACACTGTACCACAGTGATCATAGATATACCCCAGCACGGGAAGAGACGCTAAGCAGATTATAGCGACAGTGTAAACTAGATTTAGCATCTCTTCTTGCTCAGTACACTTTTGAACGCGATCTGCATCCTGATCTTCTGTGCAATTCCCCAGAACACTACAGGCATGTTCTACCGTGTTAATACTAGCATTGACTTTGGGATCAAAGTGACAACGGGAGAAGTAAAATTTTTCCTCAATGAATATATACACGTATGCTGGCCATCCGAATAACGTACATGAGTAAACGGCAGCTTCTAAGATTCCAAGGGCGGCGCAGAATAATTTCCAACACGTAGTGCGTGCCATGTCGTCCATCCCTTATGGTTTAACCAGGAATAGGCCGGAGTTAAGTAAAGTGAATAGTGTCTCAGGTATATCTACACGAGAAAATTACTGCAATTTGGTGTAATAGCCATTGGTAATCGAGTCATACCTGTGTTAAGATTTTAAAAACCGAACGTGGTATAAGGGATGACGCAATACGTGTTTATTTTCAGATTAATGATTGTTCTCATACCTGTTCAATGTAGGTCTATATTGAATAAAACACATTTATTTCAGCTGTTTACCCTTGTCGGTAATTTAACACTGCCTGTATCACACAAAAGAAGCAGTCCATATCAACCATACAAAACTGAGGATCCCATTCGGGGGGAGGGGTTGATGATCACAGTTAACTAGAAATAGGATGGCCAATTCACAAATCGTATAAATGAATAAAGCTATGTATATAAGTAAGGCGAAAAAAAAAACAGTATTCAAGAGTAAGAGGTACGGGGTGCCTCACGGATCACGTGGTGACTAAATAATATGAACGTTTGTCAGGAGAAAAAGCAGCTTTCACTGCTAACGAAAATACCCAGTGGGACCTTCAGAAATGAAATAAAAATAGAAATGATATGAATATGCAACGAGTACACGGTCTCTCTCTCTCTCACACACACACACACACACACACACACACACCATATAGAACAGGGCAAAAGCACTTACATCTGCGGCAGTATCAATAAAGGACAAACCAACATAATGTTCTAAATTTGGCTGCTGCATTTATTGTAATGTCTCTCTAAAAAGAAATGTGAATAGTACATGACACTGAATTTTAATTGAAGAATCTACACGTTTTATTGTCAATTTATTCCAAGTTTGTCTTTAATCTATTTAGACGGAGAGAAATATAGGCAAATTTAGTATAAGGAAGACAAAGCATTACTCGCGTTAAACGTATATATAATATTACTCTGTTGTAATGTACTCAAAACATACATAGATAAGTTTCTCACATAAACTGTCCCAAAATGATCATGAATGAAACCCAGTATTAAGAGAGCCACCAAACTGACCGTGTAAACTATTTTTTCAGCATCTCTTCCTGCTCAGTGCACTTTTGAACGAGGCTGTCTGCGGTCGTTTCTTGTGAAGCGTACACGCATGGCCCGCGATGTTAATGCATTGGCTCTAGAACCAAAATGACATCGGGAATACATGTAATACAATCTTTCCTCTACGAAAATATACACATATACTGGCCATTCAATAACATAGAAGAGAAGACTGAAACCCATAAATTTTCTGCAACACGGAACCTCAGTTTTGTTACATCCGTATTTGACATGCAGTTATGACATACATCATACTTTGAACGTTTCTAAAAACACGTACGTGCCCTTCTTTCTATGTGGAATTTTTTATTATGGGCTCGCTATTTTTATAGGTGCTCTCAGACCCAGGATCGATTCCCGTCGCTCTGTCTTAACGCGACTGACTTAAGTGACCTCCTTGCTCATCTTCATGGTCACCTGATAAGGTGGCATAATTATACGTGTGGTACCGTGGGAAACCGATCAAATGCTGTGTGTGTGTGTGTGTGTGTGTGTGTGTGTGTATGTGTGTGTGAGAAAGAGAGAGAGAGTGAGAGAAAGAGAGAGAGGGGCTAGCTCTGAAATTATTCATACATATTGCATCAGAAAAAAGCTAACAGTAACAATATGTCACACACTTATTTACGACCAAACATTGATTTTCGTTCAATTAGCATTTGATCTGACTCCTTACATATAGTCGGAGGCGTAGCGCGTTGGGATTAAATGCGTTATCAAATACGTTGTAGTTAAATGCCACCTTCTGCGATGGGACCTTATCTTCGATAAAGCAAACAGATGACACGCTCCTACAGATAACCCATCCGTTACGCCACACAGTACACTGCAGAAAGGTCACTGGAAGACAGATTGTGGTTAAGGTAAGACTCAGAACCTCTCTTCTACAGAAAAGTAAAAAAAGAACATCAATTTTGTATCACAATCATGGTTTGGTCATTTGGTATCCCTTTTAACTGTTGACGTGTCATGGCAACACCATGTAGGCGCCCAATGATAGAGATCTTGCAAAGCTATTAGGTTGCTGCTTACTTGAACGAGGAATTTTAATCTTACATAAATTATGTTTTGTAAGGAAACTCTATCAGAATTGGTCAACTGATTATTTTAGAATTTCTTTGCATGTGAGACATATTTTTTCAGTCGCTGAAGCAGACAACATTCTAATACGAATGACGAAAGCAAACATGCTTATAATTGCAAACACATTTGTTACAAATATTATGAACTTATACACTCAAAGTTTAACAAAATAGTGTTAAAATACATAGGTCGTGTACATTATTTATAAGTCGGTTGTCGTATGTCAGCAAGGATGTAGGAACTGGATTGTACCTTTTAAAACAAGGATTTAGCTATTTTTCAAAAATCTGTTTGTCGCTCTATTCTCCCTGTGTCAACGATGACAGGAAAATCACTTGGTTTGGGGCCAAACGTTACGCAAACAGTCTAGAAAGATATAAATCGATGTTGATAAAGTCGCTCTTGTCAGTTGGATGGTATATTGACGTTTAGGAGCCATCTATGAGTAAATATGGTTACTGATTAATATGTACATACGTGCAAATCGTTAACTCAGTTGAAATTTAGTTCGGTGTGCGTGAGAGATTGCACATAGGTAGTTTTCCCTTGGTGAACAAAATACAAAAGAGGATGATTTGTTGAAAAGAGAGAAGATTAGGTACTGGTAGCTGTTCATTCACCAATTTTTCTAACTGTCACATGTAGATTATAATTTAGTTGTGAGAGTTAAAACAATAATGTTTAGATATACATACATTTCTGGACATGCTTTGTTTTAATACATTGATAGAGATACTAGTAAGAGATTTAAAAGGATACTTTTAAATGGTTGCAATCATATCAAAAATGAAAAAAAAATACTGTTCATTTTGAAAAGGAAGACATTCTTAATTTAAAGTAAAATATAAAGTTATAAATTGTCTTTTGGCTTACACTTCGATCAGATATATCTCAACTGCTTACTTATGTTGTGTTTCCGGTGTGTTTAGAATTCTGGTCTGATCACGAGGAAATGAAAAATCTAACCAAGCTCATGCAAGCAGATCAGATTCCTGATCTAGTCTAGACCGGTTCAGAACAGGATTGGATTCTTATCTTTCCTGTTACATAGACGTTCATCTACGCAACCCTGCTCATTCTAATTGTGACAGCCAATACCCATCAGTGTGTGACGTCGAAAGTTTCATATGTGACTTTTCTTTTCTTACAGATGCAGACCATTCTTCTGGTGCTGTTGGTTGGTGTTGGCCTTGCCCTTGGTGCCAAGACCACCCAGGCGCCTAGGGTTATCACTGACCAGAGCCAGCAAAATGAAATAGACGACCTGAAGAGAATCGTAAGCACTTTGGGAAGGCAGCTTATGATGCAGCAGTTATTTGTAGAAGAGAGAGTGAGGTCCGACGGGGCGTCGGGACTTAAGCAAATACGGCTACAAGAAATTGGTGAGTTAAAACGTCTACCGGTACACTGTTAATTAAGTCTCTCTCTCCAAGTGCAATCACCGATCAGGTGTTTCACTTACGTTGATATTTTGCCAAAAGTTTCTGAATCTTGCCATTAACTAGAGGCGTATTGCGGGAATTTCAGAATTGTCATTGATCGCATTTCATTGTCAGTTCCTAGGCATTGCCCATGATGTTCTTCTTACCACAAACGTACAACGTTCTCTTAGACCCTTCTTTTACATAGAGAGGTATACCTAAGCGATATTGTCTGTATCGGTGCACTTTCAGAGAAATTAAATGTGTTTTTACGTAAGAGAGCCACCTTACNCATTTTGATTACGGAGCCAATGCCTTGTAGGAAAAGATAAACTATAGCGATAACGTTTATTATGTAACTATCTATAAAGTCAGTTCTTGGTGTAGTTTGTTGACTACTAGTCACTTAGCAGCTTGGATTGAATACAGTAATAATTGTACAATTGTGGTAATAGTACTTAAAAAAATTAACTGGGTTCATATGTTGTCCAGTTAACTTTGTTGGAAGATTATTATTATTATTATTTTTTTTTTTTTTGAAGGCTCGCTTACTGAGTAATTACTGGAATGAACTGCAAAGATTGTAAAAGTTAACTAAGTATCAGGATACTGTCATGTGAAACTTTAAATGTCATTGCCACTTATTTGGTCAATAATAAATTTTATAAGGAACTTCATGCAGTCTTATTTTTAACTATACCATGTGTTAAAATACTGGGAAAAGTGTATTGATCATACTTCTCTGTCAGTCGCAGTGTAAATTTAGAAATTCTGTGCAGCTTTAGAAAGACATTTCCGTGACTTGACAATGATTAATCAACATAGACATTTTTGGACATGTAATATATTTTTTAGAAAATTAAAATAAAATGATACATTGTTGACATACATTTTTCAAATTAAATATACATTTGAATTGCAGACTATTAACTACATGCAATATATATATATATATGTTAAAATTGCAGGATTTCCTGGGCAGTTTCACCTTTGCTGATATAAAAAAGGTGCTAAAGGACAAATTGTAAACTAGTGTTTACAGGTCTTTCAAAAATTTGATACCGTATAAAAGAATACTTCCCTATTAAAAAATGAAAAGAATATACATCAACTGAAATGTCTGCTTTAATTTCACAATAAAATATAGTATGATGTACAGTTACATAAAGAAAAGATAAAGTAAAAAAAAAAAAAGATCACAGTATACATTATTGTAGGTAGGATAACATTGAAAGAATCCAAGGAAACAGAAGTAAACTTCTATTATTTCTGAGAAGAATCTTTTGCAAATGTATTATTTTTTTCAATAAGAAAAATGACTATGGTCATTTAATAAAAGGTCGCTAGATGAAAATTAAATTTCAATCTGCTATAGAAAATTGTTAAAAACAGAAATGCATTAATCTTAAAATAGTGAAGTAATCATGCATGTAGCTGTTGTAAATTAACTTGAATGTTGGATTCCTTCATGTATCCTCTGAAAAATAAAATATACATATATAAACAATGAGGTGCCTTCAATTGTAAATAAACATGCAGTAACTGTTGCAATTTAACTTGCATTGGCTTTTTCTGAAAAAAAAAAAGATAATGATGATAATGATAATGATGTATTTAAAAAAGTTAATTCTATATATTCAAAAATATTTTTGCACAACCTAACTTAAATTATGTAAATAAACGTGCAGTAACTGTTGTAAACTTGTATGATAATTGTAGATATAAGACTATGAAGAAAACATATAGATAGATAGATAGATAGATAGATAGATAGAGGGGCAACTCTTACATTCTAACTGACTAAATGTCAGTTCAAGGTCAGTTCAATGCCTGCAGCTCACTAGTCGATAAAAAAATGACACTGGCCCAACATCAGGTTAAAGTTTAAAAAAATGACATTGGCCCAGCGTTGGTCCTACATCGGATCAACGTCAAAAAAATGATGTTGGCCCGACGTTGGTCCTTCATCGGATCAACAACAAAAAAAAATGATGTTGGCCCTACGTTGGCCCACCGTTGGCCCTACATCGGATCAACGTAACAAAAATGACGTTGGGCCGACGTTGGCCCAACGATGGCAGGCCAACTTCAACAGTGCAAGCGTTGGCCCAACGTTGGCCCGATGGCGGCATGCCAATGCCGACCAAGTGCCAACGATACCGACGTTGGCCCAACGTCATCTTGCTATCTGGGATATTAACGCGATCATTTATTTCCTAAGACTGAGCTCTTTCACAATCAAGGATATAATTTCGAATGTTTATGTTCTTTGTCATAATATTTGTAAGCATATGTGTTACCTCAACCTGTGATCAATTAAGAATATGTACATTGGATATCAGGAGCAATTTTTTATATTGTTCCTACCTCTCTCAGCTAACGCCATCAGGAAAAAACCACCAGAACACAGGAATCTTAAATAAAATACAAGAATTATAACCAAACTATTGTATTGATCTCCAAATTACAATACATCGTAAGAAATTAGCATTCTATTTGGCCATCACACCTGTCAACTTCTTTCGAAGGCATAACATCGATGTACCCGTAAAACGATTTACAGCTGAAGCGGTCATAGTTTGGCTGATTTTATCAATTCTCTCTTTTTTGTACTCATAGATGGAGGTTACTACGAAACACAGTGGAGTGGTAATAATTCTGATTTTAGCTGTGGTTGAAATAGCTATTACATTACGTTCGTACATTTGTAGTACAACGTGGAGAGAGTGTGAAGACAACGGATAAAATCTTCACGCTATAACACCACAGTCACCTTAAACATATGACAGCTGTATAGTAATGTACTTACATGGATAGGATCCTCACACAAACTGTCCCACAGTGATCATAGATGTACCCTAGCACAGGAAGAGACACTAAGCAGATCAAAGCAACAGTATAAACAAGATTGAGCATCTCTTCCTGCTCAGTACACTTTTGAACCTGATCTGCATCCTGATCTTCTGTGCAATTCCCCAGAACACTACAGGCATGTTCTACCGTGTTAATACTAGCATTGACTTTGGGATCAAAGTGACAACGGGAGAAGTAAAATTTTTCCTCAATGAATATATACACGTATGCTGGCCATCCGAATAACGTACATGAGTAAATGGCAGCTTCTAAGATTCCAAGGGCGACGCAGAATAATTTCCAACACGTTGTTCGTGTCTTGTCATCCATCCCTTATAGTTTAATCAGGAATAGGCCGGAGTTAAGTAAAGTGAATAGTGACTCCGGTATACCTACACAAGAAAATTACTGCAATTTGGTATAATAGCCATTGGTAATCGAGTCATACCTGTGTTAAGATTTTGAAAACCGAATGTGCTATAAGGGATGACGTAAAACATGTTTATTTTCAGTTTAATGATTGTTCTCAAACCTGAAGGTGTAGGTTTATAGTGAATAACATGATGATAACGACGTTAGCTGCATACAGTCAACCAGTCACCAGTGAAACAGTGGATTTATTCCAGCTGTTTACCCTTGTCAATAATTTAACACTGCCTGTATCACACAAAAGAAGCAGTCAATATCAACCATACAAAACTGAGGATCCCATTCGGGGAAGGGGGGTGGGGGTTGATGATCACAGTTCACTATAAAAAGGATGATCAATACACATATCGTGTAAATAAATAAATCTATGGATATACGTAGGGCGAAGATTAAAAAGTCATATTCAAGAGTCAGAGGTATAGGGTGCCTCAATGATCAATCTAAATAACATGAACGTTTGTCAGAGAAAAAAAGTGGCTTTCACGGCTAACGAAAATACCCAATGGGACCTTCAAAAATGAAATAAAAAGATAAACGATATGAATCTACAACGCATATACGCCCCTCTCTCTCTCTCTCTCTCTCTCTCTCTCTCTCTCTCATTCATACACATACACACATAAATAAAACAGAGATGTATTTATGCTTATAAATTGTAATAGGGCGTTTAAATGGTTTAATCTAAACACTGTCTGTGCATTATCCCAGCATTATCCCAAATGCTCCTTTATTTCAGTGATGTAATTGGGTTATCGAATGTTACTGCATGCACACATTTACTGGGTGGGAGCCATACTACATGTAATACTATATAATTCCACATTTTATGTGGATCAGGTAAATTAGTGTTGATCTGAACTGTTGCTAAGGTGTTATATTTTACTCTTAGCTTTAAACCAAGAAGTTGTGTCATCTTGTTTACAGCCTGTCACCTGACCTGAGTATTATTATTATTATTATTATTATTATTATTATTATTATTTATTTATTTTTTTGCATTTGTTACATACTTGTGTGAGGTGGCTAAATTATTTCAACTGTTCTTAAAATTGAAGCAAATGAAATTCACTAAATCAATGATTTGTACTGAAATGAAGTGTAGTGCATTTTTCTGTAAGTGGCAGTTTTTGATAGCAAATTCAACTTGGTTTTCACAGAAACAAAATTATGTATTGCATGAAAATGGAGGTATGATCACATGGAATTTTGTTATCAGTGTTTGTTTCACATAAAATGTATCTGATTTTTAAATATTGCTATAAAGAATATATTTACTGAGGTATTGCTTAAATTTTGCATGTTACCCATACATCTCTCTCCACTGAATGGTTTAGATTCAGTACCCTCCCCCCCATATCACCACACATATAGAAATAAATTGGTGCTTTTTGTGGATATAAATTGTTTAAGTATAATTTCTCCAACAGGAAAAACTATTTGTGAGGTTTTTTACCTTATAAAAAGTATGGTTGCTAAGGAAAATTATTAAAAAAAAAAAAAAAAAAAAAAAAAAAAAAAAAAAAAAAAAACAGGTGGATTTTTAATGGCCGTTCTCTCAAAATGGCTACCACTAATATCTTCGACTATAAACCTTAATAACTTAAACAATTTTAAAGGTACAAATATTTTACATCATTTTATAGAGGACATCTTGTAGTTTTTAAAGATGTATACATTTCAATATCTCAAAAAATCAACTTATCCCTGATTTTGTCATGATGGGTCACACATAAAGACATGTGTGTATGTGAGGGTAATCATCTTGAACTCATCGACGCCTCATACATACGGACCTGACGTTTTTTATTTCACGTATTTTGAAACACAAACTTAAATTCAAACTGTGGAATACTTAGGCTCAATATAATCGTGTAGCTATAAGCATATTTATCTCCTGCTGCATTACGTTTAATAGAACGTTGAGAAAAGCACTGACGTCTGCGGCACCGGAAATCAAACAGATGAGCGTTGGTTGTGTCTTGGGAACTAGGGTAACCACCTGGGGGTCAGTTTTGTTAACCGTATCCATCCCAGTTGGTGCAACAGAGCTCCTGGGAACAGCAGCCCTCTATAGTTCCTGTTAAGGTTGAACGTTTTCAATGTGTCTTCAGACTTCACTCAATGTTTCTGCAATGCTCTGATAATTTCATTTCGGATTTCTGGGCTTTGTGTGCAGTTATTCTTTCTGCAAATTTACTGAAGCCCCCTTTTCCTATTGCACCAAGTACTTGAACAAAATGAAACTTTTTGACAACGTTTCCGGTGAACATACGTTACGTAGTATTAGTCATGACGCAAAGCCCCTTGAGTTACAGTTTAAATATATATATATATAAAAATCCTTACGTCATGCATCATTTTAAATTAAAATTAAAATTACCATTCTCCTCTCTTATTTTATAGATCAAGGCCGGACGAAAGCACTCTTCTGAGCCTGGGAAGACGATTAGAATATTCCAAGTTTACGCAGATGAGCATCTAATTTTTTTATGTCGGAAGGTAGTCAAAAATGGAGGATAGATCAATAGAGATAATTTGGAAGACTCAAAAAATATGCGTGAATGTGCCCCTGTATATGTATATACACACACACACTGGACAATAGAAGTGTCACCCTATACTGAACCAATACTTTGGGGGAAGATAAATGACTGTTCCTGGTATAACTTTATTTAAATCAACATTCACAAAAAGACCAACAATATAATTCCATGGTACAGCGGTTTAACACTCATTAGTCACATTATTAGTAGACCAGGCATTATAACTACTCAAGATCTACCTACTTTGATCACCTGATTCAGGGGATGACACTTCTATTGTCCATTGTGTGCACATGTATTTCTCGACTTAAGAGAGGTTACATTAACCAAGCAAATATTTGAACGTCTTGGTAAAACTGTATTCTCATGGGGCAGGAGTATATCTAACACACCACTCGTCTTGTCTGGAGGAGCTGAAGCCATATTGACTCGTGTCCTGGCTGGGAATCTGAAGCGTGTAGCTATTATTCCTCGTGGAGCTACACCGACGCCAAAGAAGGTAAAAAGGCAAACAGCTGGCTGTGAGACATATTCCCAGGAACAAAAGTCCCAACTGTGAAAATTAAATAAAAGACATATATTTATTTACCACGCCGAGTTTTCACCATTATCACACTATAAATCAAAGTATTGGAACTATTGTTGTTTCTTACAATAAGATTTTTACAGTAGTCGGTTGTCAACACCAAGTTTTGAAAAGTAATTTAAACCCACTATTTGTTTTGCAGTTGTTCGTGATTTGCATCGTGTCGCCATGTGGAGATTTGATTACTTAATTTAACACTATATTACCTGATATATAACAATGTCGGTTCCCATACTTACCCAGAATGGGTCACTTTCCAGGCTGTACTTATACCAGGCGAATATTGGATACTCAACAAAGGTGAACAAAAATCCGATACCAATTTGTATTCCATAGGTCTTCCCAAAATGTTCTTTTGGAAACCTATAATTTGAATGTTTTAATGGCATTATACCGTGTAAATATTGCTTTTTTTAAACCAAAGAAGCTTACTGGAAAGGTGGAAATACATGCTCGTAGACGGAGTCACCAAATCTATACTTACGCGGAAGCTATATAGGTCATATTTGTGGCGTAACTCCCGGTTTTCAACATAGAATGAAACAAAATGGCCACAAACTGCAACTCGATAATGGGGATGATGCACGCAATGGAGGCGATGAATCCTGCCAAAACTGTGAGGAAAAATGGAACCACGAAGCATCGCTCTTTTTCTGAAATATGCATGTATAATGGTATCAGTACATGAATAATATACGTGTTTCTCCAATACCATGTCTATACTGTATTAGTATATCGCATGTTTTAATAATGTGAAGATAATCGGTATATATATTACTCATAAATGGTCTTGAGTAAGCTCCAATTGTCAGGGAATACAGATGCACTTTCTCTCTATACGAAGAGTGTCATTTCCGTTGCTGTCAACAAAAATCATGAAATATCCAGTGTCATTTCTCCCATTATGTTGTGTAGGCGGGTCGATTCAGTTTGATCATAATGCATAGAGACTATAAGATGAGAGAACAAAAGTTGCCACTGTTGTCTCAGAGGGTTTATGATATAGCATGGCATTTCAACTTTGATGCAGATAATCTCTTTCAAAGTTAAATGATTTACGATTTTACTCTGACGTCCATCTAAATTCCGTTGTTGGCTTTATTGAAATTAATATATTGAAGTAATCGTTAGACAGCGACGGCTCACAAAACCATGGCAACACCATATGGAAAATAGCCACAGAAGCTACTATTTTTAAATTGTTACGATACACGATGAACATCCGCTGCAGCTATAACCTGAAATCGTGTATATGATCTTAAAAAAAGGAAACAAGCCACATCTCGACTAGGTAATATCACATTCATGTTATTTACCGTATGTGGTTGCCCTGGAAACAAGTTTATCCAACATCAAACCAGTCAGCAAGGCCCAGAACAGAGAACCCACTTGGAACCAGGAATACACGTCTGTATACGTACTTACTGAAATGCAATTAGAACTAGTATGGATAGATTCACGTTGTCTTTTGTGTAAAGATGGCGAAAATTAAAGGACACAAGAAAGATAGAAAGAGATGCATGCGTTGCACGTTAAACATGTTTATGCAGCAAACAGGTTACAGTGATAATATACGTGTAAACCAATTACCTTTATCTTTGACATTATTTCCATAGTAATTGATTATTGCGTAAAAACTGCCTTGATATGTGACAATGAGGGTATTTTGGCACAAAAACCACAGCATCAACACCCAAAATGCTGGGAGTTTGAGGATCAGTAGCGTGTCATGTAGAAAGCAGTTGTTAGCACTTTCGCCATTTTCCTTGCTTAGAGAGTTTTCTATTTCGCACGATATCTGCTCAATTACGTCGACTTGCATTTCTGTATGATTGATATTATTCTTATTTTGACAACTGGTGGCTTTATTAAAATCATGATGGCCAATAATTTCATCAGCTTCTTNCTATATTACCTGATATATAACAATGTCGGTTCCCATACTTACCCAGAATGGGTCACTTTCCAGGCTGTACTTATACCAGGCGAATATTGGATACTCAACAAAGGTGAACAAAAATCCGATACCAATTTGTATTCCATAGGTCTTCCCAAAATGTTCTTTTGGAAACCTATAATTTGAATGTTTTAATGGCATTATACCGTGTAAATATTGCTTTTTTTAAACCAAAGAAGCTTACTGGAAAGGTGGAAATACATGCTCGTAGACGGAGTCACCAAATCTATACTTACGCGGAAGCTATATAGGTCATATTTGTGGCGTAACTCCCGGTTTTCAACATAGAATGAAACAAAATGGCCACAAACTGCAACTCGATAATGGGGATGATGCACGCAATGGAGGCGATGAATCCTGCCAAAACTGTGAGGAAAAATGGAACCACGAAGCATCGCTCTTTTTCTGAAATATGCATGTATAATGGTATCAGTACATGAATAATATACGTGTTTCTCCAATACCATGTCTATACTGTATTAGTATATCGCATGTTTTAATAATGTGAAGATAATCGGTATATATATTACTCATAAATGGTCTTGAGTAAGCTCCAATTGTCAGGGAATACAGATGCACTTTCTCTCTATACGAAGAGTGTCATTTCCGTTGCTGTCAACAAAAATCATGAAATATCCAGTGTCATTTCTCCCATTATGTTGTGTAGGCGGGTCGATTCAGTTTGATCATAATGCATAGAGACTATAAGATGAGAGAACAAAAGTTGCCACTGTTGTCTCAGAGGGTTTATGATATAGCATGGCATTTCAACTTTGATGCAGATAATCTCTTTCAAAGTTAAATGATTTACGATTTTACTCTGACGTCCATCTAAATTCCGTTGTTGGCTTTATTGAAATTAATATATTGAAGTAATCGTTAGACAGCGACGGCTCACAAAACCATGGCAACACCATATGGAAAATAGCCACAGAAGCTACTATTTTTAAATTGTTACGATACACGATGAACATCCGCTGCAGCTATAACCTGAAATCGTGTATATGATCTTAAAAAAAGGAAACAAGCCACATCTCGACTAGGTAATATCACATTCATGTTATTTACCGTATGTGGTTGCCCTGGAAACAAGTTTATCCAACATCAAACCAGTCAGCAAGGCCCAGAACAGAGAACCCACTTGGAACCAGGAATACACGTCTGTATACGTACTTACTGAAATGCAATTAGAACTAGTATGGATAGATTCACGTTGTCTTTTGTGTAAAGATGGCGAAAATTAAAGGACACAAGAAAGATAGAAAGAGATGCATGCGTTGCACGTTAAACATGTTTATGCAGCAAACAGGTTACAGTGATAATATACGTGTAAACCAATTACCTTTATCTTTGACATTATTTCCATAGTAATTGATTATTGCGTAAAAACTGCCTTGATATGTGATAATGAGGGTATTTTGGCACAAAAACCACAGCATCAACACCCAAAATGCTGGGAGTTTGAGGATCAGTAGCGTGTCATGTAGAAAGCAGTTGTTAGCACTTTCGCCATTTTCCTTGCTTAGTGAGTTTTCTATTTCGCACGATATCTGCTCAATTCCATCGACTTGCATTTCTGTAGGATTGATATTATTCTTATGTTGACAACTGGTTGCTTTATTAAAATCATGATGCCCAATAATTTCATCGGCTTCTTCCCGAGTGACATCTCCATCTGCTTTCACTTTACTTGCTAACTCTGGAGTGATATTTCCAATGAAACGAACACCACACTTTTGTTCTATACTTTCATCATCAAGTTTGTATGCTGTCTTTGGCAAACTTTGCTCTAAAACTTGATTATTATCAATCGTTTCATTTGTTGCTGGTACATTCAAGTCAGGTTGGTCGGCGTTTCTACAAGTATTGGTGTTGGGTTTAGATGGTTTTTCAGTAACACCTTGCCGCTTGCGTATCTTTAAGCAACAATCTTTGTCAATGTTGTTCCCGTCGTCATCTTGTCTAGGTGGAAGGGTGATTGTGTTGACAGAAGACAGAAAAAGTATGATAGCGGCAAAGGTGAACATGCACGTTTTATACGAAACTCCGGTCTGGTACGCCATCTGCAATTGGATAAATAACGTGCTATTTGAAAAATGTAGTTTATTCTAGATATATTAAAAATTGCAAAATTCCAAATACGTATGAGTTTATATAGTATGGGGACCGTTAAATACCAACAACAGCACTGATATGAATGATAAATTGTAACGTTTATGGTACTTTATATGGCGTTGCGGACATTTTTGTTTTGAAAAATCTTTCAGGAAGGTTACTTTTGTCTTCAAAGATAAGTGTCCGTAACTACTAGTTGTCACTAGATGAATTAGTTTATGCCATATCAAACAGGTAATTACCGATGCGTTCGTCAGGTTTTAAGGGACAAAGCAAACACGTTTAACATTACCTTTAACAGAATAGGAGCAAAACCACTGACGTCCATGGCACCGGAAATCAGACAAATGAGTGTTGACCTTAGCTTAGGAAATAGTACAGCCACTTGGACGTCAGTTACTGCCAGCTGGATGCTTCCAAGCAAGTGAAATACAGCCCCAGGGAATAACAGCCATTCTGTTCCTATAAAGAATATTAAATGCCTCGATCTTGATTATAGCCTCAATTCTCCAGGAATTAATAATTTAATAACTTCATTTTGGTTTTCTGGTCATTATATACAGCAGTTTATTTACATGAACTGAAACAAATTTTGAAAAAACCTATAACCCTGAGGACATCAGACCAATACAGTGTATCACTGATCATAGATCGATGCTTATTGGAAGTTATTACTTATTTCTAACGGTTTCCTTGGGACGCCACCTTTTCATGTGGCAAGTTAGTCATTTTTAAATGATTCATTTCTGATTTATTCCGTGCCAGGTAGACTTTTTCTGGAAGAATGAATAAACTTCCCCTACTAACGAATCTGTGCTCGACCACTCACTGCGCTTGGAATCGATGTTTTATAGCATTTCTAATCTAAAATATTACTGGGCCTTTTAAACTGCCTTGTTTCATTATACATCTCAGAAGGAAATATCGACATAAAGCACAACATGTATGCTTTGCATGACTTGTTAAGGACATTTAAACGCGGATTGTGTATTTCTTTAAAGTGTATTAAAATATGATGAAACTGAATATGTATAATATATTAAATTGTTTTTGCCTCAAAAGAACTCACATAAATGTAAAAAATTAGTTATTACTAAAATGAAAAATTGGCGATTAAAGTGAGTTCAAAGTACAATACATTCAAGCAGACTATTTAAAGATTATCCTGTCGTTTTCTCACCTATTTGCTGAATCTATACCATTGAGTTTGTCTTTTATCTGCGTCATCCCAGATAGCAAGAAGGCGTAAGGCCGACCAGTACACTGGGCCAACGTCGGGCCAGCAACGGTGCCGGCGTCGGGCCGACGTCCGTGCTCATCGGCCATCTGTTGGCCCGACGTCGGCCCAACGTCGTTTTGCCGACCAGCTGACGTTAGCCCGATGGTGGGCCGACGTTGGCATGATGGTGGGTAATGGTTGGCCCGATGGTGGCCCAGCATCAGGGTTATGACGTTGGGCCGACGTCGTTTTGCCGACCAGCTGACGTTAGCCCGATGGTGGGCCGACGTTGGCCCGATGGTGGGTAATGGTTGGCCCGATGGTGGCCCAGCATCAGGGTTATGACGTTGGGCCGACGTTGGCCCATTGTAATTATGCCAACCAGCTTATTGGCCCTGCATAAGCCCAAAATTAACTTTTTTTATTTTAAAGTAAGTGATTAACTTTACGAAATTATAAGCAAAAACAACAACAATAACAATTTCCATCTGTCTGCAACACAAAATATATTCTTTATTATATCATAGTACATATAAACCGAGCATCAGTGGAGCGTGGATTCCCTGTAACGCAAAAAACCACTCCTAATAGTTTCTTACACGACTCAAATAAGTTCAACATGCTAAGGGATAAACTAAATAAATCACTCAATCAGCCATAAAAGAGCTTTAGACTGCTAGTTTCTTCTTTTAAATTTTTGGTCAGAAATTTAACCTATTATTGTGACCTTCTTTTCTATTCCATTGATATACAGCATAGAATGCTAGCAGAGAAATCCATTCAAATATCATCTTTCAGGCAAAATTAAACAATGCCTTTTGGTAATTACCCTAGTTATACTACTTGAAACTATATACTGACATTTGGTTGGCTTTTGTGGCAAAAAATTAGACTTCGTATGCATCTTTAAAGGTCTCTATAGCTTTTTTAAAGGTCTCTGCTTCTATAAGTCACCAATTTCGGGCTAAGGCCCTTCAGCCTGACGCATTCTTCTTTTTCTGCCTCATTCTCGGTCTCCAGCTGTCCTAAACCATTTCTTAATTGTTTCTGTTATTTCTGCATCCGTGACCGTTTGACAAATTTTGTTTTTCCTTACTACAGCTGAAAGAGAAGCAAAACAATTAAGATTTTTTTTTCAATTATCATTATTAGTATCATTAACTTCAATCCCAATTAATAACTGAAATAAAATTGAAGACAAGGTTTTTACCATCATTAAAATACATTTCCTTGAAAAGAAAGGAGATTGTCTGAACATTAATCAAGAGCATGTAAGAGGCAAAACAAGCATTTAATTTGGAGGCTATTCCAACTATATATGTATTTTGACTACGTATTTCCACATTCATACAACTTACTTTCAATTAATGCTCTTGTATTCGAAGTTGCCCGAATGCCAATTTCCCGCCCTTTCCCATCCAATTAATCTGTGTTGCAACTTCATTTGTCATAATATGTAATAAAATATTCCTTGTTGTTCCTGTTGGATTACCACCCCCGATGGTTTGCAAGATTCCTACCTGCAAGAGGAAAATTATAGCATTTTATCTGAAGTCCTTAGAGTTAATTAAAAAATTGGAAAATTTCCTTTTCATTTGTATTTTTTTTTCAGATAAAATTGTGACAATTTTCTACATACAAGCTACAAAAAAACATTTCCACATAGTATAAGAACCATTATATTCTTTGTATGTTCTTGAAAATTCTTGCTACACCAAGAAAAGTTATTATATTAAAATAAAACCATGTATGTATATTTACCATGTTCTTGAACTCTTGTTCCTCCTTCAAAGAGTTTTCAAAATCAATAAGTGCATTTGTTGTTTTTAGCGGGAAAAATGAAGATGGTAATTCCACTGATGCTGTATTTTCCACGCATTTTTTTTTTTTTTTTTTGAGCCAGCATGTTATGGATAAGTGTGGTGTTCACCTTTACTTGCTCTTTTACTTCTTCTAGAAGTGTTATCATTTTGCTAAAAAAAATGCTAAAAAAAATACATGCATTAGTTATACAATTGAAGTGTAAACTAAAAGTTTTGGCACATGTATTAGTAGGCTACTTATTTAATTGCTACAAAAATAGAAGTTGCAAATGTAATTTTGAAGAATTATCATCACTTTTATAACATTCTGGCACTCAATTAACTTATGTTTATTTACTTTCTACCTTTAATTAGAAAAATATATGCAAAACTTATGACATGTATGCTTACTTGTTGATCTATTTTCAAAAAGGCTTTGTCCAGTTGGGGGGTTAGGCAAATTGATTCTTTTTTGGGTCCTGTCTGTTTTGGTTATGGTTGGAAGTTCCTCTTCCTCACCCGACACATCTGACTCTGACTCTGACTCATAACGAGGATTTGGTCTGTTAAAAGAAAGAAGAATGTGAAGTCATAGAATACAGGTAAGTAGAAGTATGCAAATGGGGATCAGGGCTTCAGATGTTTATATGGCAAAATTATTTGCACTATTTAAACATTTTTGTACATTATTTGGGTCTGCAATTTATCAGCTAGGTGTTGAATAAATGCAGTATATATCAGTACTAGTACTATAGCTTTGTTTTAGGTATTGTTTTAAATGTAACTGATATTTAGAATATAATATTTCCCCAATAATGAACGTTTTATTTCATTGAATATTTTTTATCCTATTTCAAATGAAACTTGTAGATTGCTATAGTTGAGCCTTCTTTGAGGTGTTCTCATCAAGCACAATCATATCCTCTTGTGTGCAGTCGTTTTTTGTAAATGGAGGATAAAAAGTTTACTTTTCCACATTGCCTTCATTTACAAATAACGACTGCTAGTCATTCCGTGGTATTGGAACTGAGTAAGTATCTTAAAATGATGTGTTATTTATGTGCCTGACATTTTCCTAAAAACTGAGGCTCAGGCGTATACACATAAAAAAGCTGTACGAAATCTAGTAGCAAATAAGATGAAGAAAGCTATGCATTTTCAAATACCAAAGTCTGTTCCAGTTTACAGAATGAGTATGTGAGTAGTCTGCATGAAAACCAGGCTAAACTTGCACGTTATCAAAAATAATCTTG